ATATAAATATACCATGTTTCATATTATAGTATACGGTATATTATATTCATTAGAAAACTAGTTGTGAAACATAATATTTTGTTGCTATTACTGTAATCAAATACCGACCGAGATCCGTCGCCTTTCATGACGTGATGACGTGCACACTTTTCGGTTTTCCGTTCGTCTTTACCCCGCGCAATACAGTCGTCCGGTGAGGTCAGCTTTGTCTCGTCCTCCCGCACACGCCGTCATCCTATCTCCGCGCATTACCGTATTTTTCTTCGTCTCCCCCTGCCTCGCGCCGTTGTAATATTATATAGGCATACACCATAATATTATAGGTAACATGCACCCTTCCTATATGGACAACAAGATGGACCGTGAATATAAATTAATCGAGTCAAGTTAATCAAACAGAAGAATCCTTTAAGTCGACGACAAATAAATCCCACTCGTTAACTAACAACGCGAATTGAGATATCTTAATTTTCAGATGAGAAGTTAAAATGCGAAAAATAATAATAACTTAACATAGTTAAAGAAAAAAAACCAACAATAATAACAATATAGAATAAACTGATTAGTTTAATCTGTAGATTAGACAAATTAGTAGATAAAAAAATAGATAAATAGATAGTAAATAAATGTATAAATAACACAATACAAATTACATAATCCATTCGCTGTGAGCGACCATTATCACAATCGTATTTCAAATTCCTTAAACCTTTGATACTGTTCGATTTTTCTGCATGTAATTTTTCTAGTTCGTCGTCAAAACGTATTCTGGCGCAATCTTCGACGATGTGCCTTATAGTATGTACGCACCCACACTGGCAGCTTTATGCTGCCTTAGACCTTATTTATATAGTTAGTGTTGGCATCTGTATTTTTTTTGTTCTAATCTAATTTAAGGTAGTCGCCAGAGGTATTGGGAGATCAAAAACTAGGATTCTATAATGTGGGTCGTTCACTAAATCAGCATTATTTACACCCGAGAAGTTCTCCATCTACCTTTCCAATTATCCTCTTGTGATGAACTATCGTATTATGTTAACCGCTCGTAATAGTGAACACAAATCATTAACCAATAGCTTAGGTATTACTTAAGGTCATAGTCTATTTATAATTACCAAAACATTCGTTACGTTTCGTTTTAGAATAGTGACTACGTGTCAACATACCTAGAAATGTTCATTATTTTTGTGATATTAATAAGTCTAGACGTAGGTGTCGAAATAAAATCGATTTTTCTGAAGTTTTTCGGGATTTGTAAACAATAGACGGGACAGGTACGGCCATAAGCTCATAATATTTTGAAGTCGGGTTGCTGCTGGTGCTTAGCTAACAATACTTTCGACTTCGTATCGTTTAGCATTTTATTAATCCGTTTTTAATTCTAGAAAATATTTAAATTAATAATCGTGCACCTAAAATCCCCATGGAAATTAAATCAAATTAAATCGGACGAACTATTATACTGAGTAAAAATTATAGAATTTAAAAACATAAAATACCGAACTTCGCTCAAAATCGTTTTTCTTTAGCAATGGTTTATCATTATGTACAGAAATAAATTAAATAACTTTATGTATGCTACCTTTCTTACTTCTCATATACAACAGTGGTGGTATTTTTCTCTCAATATAATTGACGTGTTTATTTTATTGAATAATTTCGAATAATTTGCAAGTAAAAAAAATAAATATATATTGACATTTATATACCAGCACGTAAAACTTTATCAAAGTTACAGAGAAAATTGTTTAAAATTATTTTTTCCTCTTAATAATTCATTATGTAAGTTTCAAGTAGAGTATAGTAATATATATTACAGTATTATAATATGATCAGAAATGAGTTTGAAATTCCATTGAAGTTATAAAATTGGAAAAAAAAAATTATATTCCCATCGTCATACACGTGGTACACGATGTGTAGTAAGAACGGAAAAAATAAATTAAAATTAAAAAATTTCGATTGTGTTCAATAAATATTTTTTCTTTTTTTTTTTAAAGTAGTTTTTAAGACGTCGCACGTATAATATTGTTATCATAATAATGTTTACCTTGTAAAATTGAAGATATAATTACTAAAGCATCTCGTTTTAACAGAATATTTTTCACATTTTAACTTAATATACGTCTAACAAGCTTTCTGTGTTTACCGTGGTATAATATTTAATTTTATCGAACAAAAATAATGTACAAAAAAAAAAAGGAATGTGAGGAAACTTCTTGCAGTAATATTAATAATAATAATAATAAAAGATCAATTAATGATGTTATTTTATAATATATATTAAAAAGCTTTTTACAAGTTATCTGTAAAAAAAAAAAAAAAATATATCTGTGTAGTTTTACAGTTTTTGGTTTTTATATATTTTGTTTGACGACAAAAATTATGTAGTTTTATGTGAATTTCGTTTTTACATATCAAGACGGGCATGTGACCTATATGGGATACCTATACGTGATTTATTTTTATAAACAAAGTGGGAACATTTGAGTTATACGCTTTATTTGAAAACCTAACACTAAAACCTAAATATTGTGTTTACAAAATTAATATGAACAATTTTGGCCCCCCCCCAAAAAAAAAATTATCCTGTATCCGCATTACATTGATTTCATTTGGGAGGTGGGTCTGTAGAAGAACACAAAGATAAAAAAAATTCTACTCACTCAAAATCACGGCGGAGTTCGTATTCAAATTTAAATAAAATGTATTTTATCAATTTAATCCAATTTTAAAAATATTCTAATTCACCAGTCTAAGATCTTTTGGTCCAGAGAGAGTCACTTATTAGTTATTAAAGTGTCCAAATGTGTCGATAAATAATATATACAAATAACAGAAACAATACAGTGTAGTATTTTAGGAAAAAATTCGACAAAAAGTGACTTTAATTTAACACTTGGTTATACTTGATTATTTATAAAAAAATATTTACTTAGCATGGTTATTTTTATTTAGTGTTATTATATTTTATTTTTGAACTACATTCTAATTATTAAGGAATTATTTAAAAAGAAGCTGTCCTAGGATAATGGGGACGGATGCAACCACTGTTATAGGTGTGAATTTGGGAAGGTAGTAGAGGGGAAATTTAATGTAATCTGTAAGCAACGATAAACCTTTGCTAACAAAAAAACATTTCATGGAGCCGTGTTCAGTTGAAAGTGATGCTTTTTCAATAATGTATATATCATATTATGGTAAAATAATTTAATAGACATTATATATTTTCTTTAATAATATTTGTTTAATATATCGATTTTCTCATTTTTTCCCCTACGTTTTTTATTCGGTTTTTTACATTCAATGAGAATACTTCTGAGATAATCAAAAAATTACCCCCTTAAAGTAATATATTTTAAAGTAGATTAGTAGATAAATTGTTCACAGGAAAAAATAAATAAATATCATCAACTATTTTGAATGATGGACCGTAATAATATACAGGCATATAAATACGTTATTTATGAAAATCGAATGCAACGGATGCTTAGTATGTAAAATATGATATCAATACGATAAAGTACCAAAGCAGTGCTCGAATCTCGAATTTAAACTTTTTCTTGAATAATACTCGTTTCCGTTTTTATAGCCTACTGAAATAATTAGACTTTACAAAATAACACCATAAAAAGTCGTGCCGTTCGTTTTCAATTACCACAGCTATCTAAAAAGTTGCCCGATGAAAACTTTTTGAACGTTTTTACTGCCTCGAAACTAACATATAACATCATTTCCGAAACGAACCTAAACATATATATTGTAATATAATTTAATTAAACCGTCACAAAATTGATTTGCAAACGATAAAACGTACGAATTAAAATAAAAACGGAATAATGCGTTTGATATTTCGATACGATCCAATTGTAATGACCAATGACGCACTGTACATAGTATTTAATTTTGTTTTATCAAACGATTCATTAATTCAAATATATTATGTAAATATATAAACACTTATAAAATGAATTTGTTTTAATTTCATACAGCGAACATTACGAACTATTTTGTATACTTATCAAACGTTACATTAATAAAAAAAAAAAAAAAAAATAATAATAGAATAACGTATTTATTTATATTAACAACAATAACATTAACATAACAAATTACAATAACATTATTATTGTAGTTTTTTTACAGTTTGTGTTTTCGGTTCAATGACTTTATAAAACCGAAGGTATGTACGCATTAAACTTTTAAACCAAAACCGAAAAACCTAGTTTTGAAATGGTTTTTATATTATTCATTCGTTTTGCAAACATTTTAATACGGTCTTGAAATCGTTTTTTAAGAGCTCTTATAAGAATGACCAGAATTAGTTTCTATAGACAGTCGACACACATTTAACCTAATATTATATATCTATACGAGTATGACCGCTTTAGTATGTTAACCGTGTTAGGTCAAGTACTGCGAGCACAGCAAGATAATATATAACTGCGAAATACTTTAATAGGTTTATAATTATTTGGCTGAAACATCATACGGTTTTTTACAACCGTCATACGACCCGTTCAATTAGGCGATCTCCGTTTGGAAAACCAAAATATTACAAATAATATTGTTTTCATTAAGTATTTGAGTATTCTTCAATTTATTTCCAATGTTCGATCATTCGATTGGTTTGCCGCAGTTCACAATGGTTCCCATTTATTATGTACTTCCTTTAACTTCTTATATCTATACTTACCCATGTAAGTAAGTCATGATTTCTTTCATGTGTATATCATCCTTGGTCTTCCTATTTAGATCCGTTATAACGGATTTCGTTAAGCTATCATGACGCAGTAAATGTCCTATAATTTCGTCTTTTTTTTTTTACTTTTATATTATGCCATAATTTGGATTTTTTTTCTGTTCAGTACCTCTTAGAATTTGATTATTTCTGGTTATTTATTCTTAACCATTTGTCGTGAATATCACATTTAAAGAGCCTCTATAGTTTCCTTTTCTCTTTGGTATCGATTGTTCAGGTTTCGTAAGCTACACTGTACATAAATATACTTTCAGGAACTTTTTTCTTCCCAGTAAAGTAATACCATTATTGATCAGTAGATGATATTTATCCTGAAAAATCCGTTTTCAATATGCTATCCCGCTAACTGCATATACTTTACTTCAGCTATAGTCCGTTGTTATACTACCTAATTACTATTTAAAATAAGTACTTGGATAGTTTTTTAAAAACTATCCAGTTGATAACGATCGTGTTCACCACAATGCGCCATAGGTGGCGTGCACTTTCCACCAGCACATTTTTGGCTCTTTACCACTTTCGTGCAATTTCCGCTCGTTATCGTAATATTGGATGTAGGTGAATTGCGGCCCAGCGTGTTATTTTTGATGTCGAGACCAGTGAATTCCGGTCCAGTACAACTTTTGGCTATAGGATAGTTACAACCCGAAAAACCCTTTTTAAATAGAAACTTTATCGCTGATATAGTTATATTTTATTTTATTATTTCTATAATTTACCTCATCGAAACTGGTATCTAATCTAAAATATAACAACAAGCGATAAATGCCGATAGTTCTGACGCGAAATATAATTACACTGTTTGTCCGTTAGTTTACGCTGTCACTCGTTTACTACATAATATTCTATTTATGAGTTATACATATTAAAAAAGTTAATGGAATTCGTTTATAGTGAAAAATCAAAGCCACTTATTATCTACAAAGCCTATTTTTTAAAACCGGCTGTATCTCCTTTAAATATAACAGTTGACAGTAAGACCGATCACAAAAACTATAATAAAACTGACAATAAAGTTCTAAATAGGGTAATACTTAATGATAGCTCTTAGTAAAACCTATTCATTGGAAAAAAAATATAATTTTTGTGTGACTACTCTGCCAACCTCCGCGTCGTGTCTTCTGGATAACTTTAATAGGCTGATGTGAAGTGGTAATTATTATTATGTTATATAATTATATTATGTTTTCACAATTCGTTCATGCCTCTCATAAGTCCGAGCCCTAAATAGTGCATTACTTAGGAATTGGACGGTAATTCACCGACACCGGTAATATTTACCTGCTAAAATTATATAAGGTGGACTATCCGCTCAACATTGTTTACTACTAGATTTGCTGCGTTTGGAACACACATGCGTTCTACTGGTTCCTTATGTGTCCATCTTTTGTAGAAATAAATCCTAAACATTTGGCTGTTTCGTCATAAAGACCACGTCAACTTGTAGTACCTATTTTCTGTTTTTTTTCCGCATATTTTATATTCATAATTATTACACACGAGACGAGGCTTATCCTTAGATGTTTCGGCATGTAAAACACATAGACAATTCGAACGTGACAAAAATCTAAATGCTACTCACAGTGAACATTTGATCGACAACATTAATATAGTTATTGGTTATCCAAAACATGTATAGATCACTCGCATGAAAATGACGCGAAATATGATTTTATAACGTACTTATCTATGATTTATCGTTTGTCCAGAAATTAAATTTCAAGTCAAAATCAAAACTATAATACGTTTACAATAATTGTATAAAATTTATATGATTCTAAATTTTGAGCGGATAGTCCAGCTTATATAATTTTGGCAGATAAAGATTACGATAATGAGCGGAAAGTCTACGAAAAAGCCGAAGATCGGAAAACGTACGAGCGGTAAGTGCCGTATACATTATCCATTAGGTTTGTTCGTTTTTATTCATGTAAAGACTCTGATGAAGTATTATTATATAGAGACGCTTATTTAACACTAGGCGTAACGTTATATGAACAATTGTACATAAGCTTTTTTTTTTTTTTTTTAAACAAACAAAGTTACTCATGTACAGTATGTGTACAATAGCGCGCATAGTATTAACTATTACAAAAAAATAACCTACCTATAGGTGTTAAACAACCTAAAATAATATCATGTTAATATATACTTTGAATGACGAGCCAGTTTATGCGCTGGTTTAAGGATTATTAACACAATATTATTATTTATGTGAGTGTGTGTGTATGTGTATGTATGTGATAACTCGTATTATCATATTTTTATATACCTGCAGTAGCAATACCTATACATTATAGTATGTAAAAAAAACCAAACACGCATGCAAGACGCCCGGGTGCAAGAAGGGTTCTCGGGTTAATGTTTGACAAACATCCGAGATTTATTTATACGGTCCCGAAGAATATTATTAAGTTCCATTCACGGTCTATCCAAATGTATAGTCCACAACGTAAAACACATACTAATATAAGGATGTTATACGCAACACCGATTTTTTCGGTCGGTTTTCCTTTTTTTTTTTTATGCGTGTTTTTCACTTCGCACACGATTAGGAATAGGTATTTAATATTAAAATATTGTTTTATACACTGTATATTTTGATCTGGGTCGTCCTTAATAATTGCTTTTATATTTTACGGAACGCAACATTGTATACGATTTCGTTCACAGTCTTTCTAATACCTATAAATACTGTAGATATTAAATGCACGCGTATTATTGAACTATAAAATATTATAAAACAAACTATATTATATATAGAATACAACATTATATGGCATGTATAATATAATATAGCCGTATTATCAATCCGCCACTTCACGCCGCATAATTTATGATAAACAATATAACTAGGGATGCCGAATTTCAAAAAAAAAAAAATACTGGACAAAACCTATACACCATTGAATATACACATTTAACTTTTACAATATTATTTATAACAAAATTAGAAACCTACTTATGTAGAAATTTTAAAGATTAAAATGATCACAAACATTTTATTTGGTAAATGATTGAGATATAGTTGAAGGACTTTTTTTTTTACATTTCAGTAATAAATAACAATATGCTTATTAATTAGAAATATAGTACAAGTCAAACATATTTTCAAAACTTAACAGCATGTATATTTTATACTTCTATTTTAATTTTTAAAATTTTAACATTATTAAATGAAAAATACATCGGAGTAAGCTTTATGATAGAAAAAGTGATCACATAAAAAAAAAAAATAATATGTTCGTATAACCAACACATTCTCCACTACACTCAGAATCTAAAAACCAATGTATACTTTCATTAAAAAGATAACAATATAAATTCAATAACTATTTCATAGTCCAATATGGGAAGAGGGTAATGGTAGGAACGTATAGTCAGGGCGTAGTATTTATGTTAGCAATCAATCAGTGGCTAAAAAATGTTTTAATCTTGATATTTAAAAACGCATTTGGACATTATATTATATAAATAAGTATAAAACAACGATGTATTATACTTTTACGGGACATACAGGACATTTATACAATATTTCATCTGTTACGGGGACACCGGGACACTGACATGATGTCACGAATTAAGGGACGTTCTCGTATAATACGGGACGTACGGCATCGCTAAATATAACAATTGACTACCACAATAAAAAGATAACCTATACGATTTAAAGGGGCCGATCTGATACATGACTTACCGCTTGTTATAATTTAATGATATAGTATGTATCCGATTCGAAAACATTCACGATTTTTGTACCGAAAATCCGATGATGGGTTATTATCGTCTGAACGATTATGATGATTTTGAACGTCAAACGGTTAACCGTCAACAGCATTTTAACGACCCACAAACATACAAGCCCGTAATCAAGCAAATGAACCGCCGTGGACATTTATCGAATTGCTTTGTAATATTGTTAAAATCAACGGAACATCCGAGCTTATTGAAAACTGTATGCGTATTATAATGTATTTCACGAAAATATACAGTGAGTATATTATAATTTATTACACTATTTGTAAATAAAAAAAAAAAAAAAAAAAAACATTTCAAAACCACGCAAACACGCGACGCGAATAAAAGTGTACGTTGAACGTCATATACATTGGTACGTATATATTATAATAATGATATGTAAATATAGGCTCATAGAATAAATATTTTATGTATTTTCCAGCGTTCGTTTTGCAGGATAGATATCTACTCACGACGTTAAGTTCGTGTCTTTTCGGCTTAGACGAAATACCGCAGAGCCGTAGAAAACGTGGGGTTGCACAAAGGGCGTATGATAACCTATAACCTCCCCAAAATATTCTTCTGCTAGCTTCTTTGGATTCGGAATGCACCGAGGTTTTATTGGTTTAACTATGGTATGTTTTTTGTTTTTGTTGTTGGCTATGAGCAACTTTTCTACCAGAAAACTTCCTCCGATGCATTAAGTGTAACAGAGTAAGTTTTTATTTTTGAAAAGAAATTTTATCTAGTTGGTTGCACTAGAGAGGTCATTTTTTTTATTTTCCAAGAGATTTTCATAGTTATTGGGAAAAACCGAGAAATAAATTATCGGAAAAGTGGTAAAAATTTACGGCACGCCGTGAAGTTACCAATTTCATTGATTTTAATTTTTACGAACTATTATGTCTATCAAAAATATTGTTTTAATCGAATTATGACAATTGCCCTTTTTGTTTTTTTGTTTTGTTTCACTTTGGATCTAGTTGTTCTCAAAGTAAGATGATTTTTGATTTTCTAAGTAGTTTTCCTAATAATTGGGAAAACCTGAAAAAGACGAAAAATGAAAACTGATAAATTTATGGCGTTATGATTTATGATTTATTTATTTAAAATGTTTTCGGCTTATGTTATAAAACGTAGAAAGAATGGGCAAATGTACGAAAATAATTAATGCTTTTATTATTTAAATGTTTTTTTAGTTATTATTCAGTTTAAAAGAATCGTAGGGACCTGAAATTTTGACAGAAAACTTTTATTTATTTTTCCTAGAAGTAATACAATTTTCTAAACATCTGAGCCATTTTCACATTTTTATGAATATTTATATTTTATGAGATTCACGTAATTTTTATTTGGTATAGGTAGTGGATGAAATTGTTAGACTGAACAGAAATGGTTGAAAATTTAACATGAAGTTTATAATAGACATACTGAAAAGTAGAAAAACAAAAAAATGGAATGTAATTTGTAGTATTTTTTTTTTTTAATAAGTTGTATTATAACATTTTGACAAAAATCGTAAATATCACTGTTTTATCAAACATGTATAATCACACTCCGAATCGGTTTTCGTTAACAATAATCTATCGTTACTTAAAGATGTAAATTGAATACCCGTATGTATCTTACCTTCCCAACTTCCCATCTACAACAGTGGCGCATCCGTCCTCGGGATTATTGATAACAGTAGCGTACTTGGGATTTTTAAATTTGGGGGGGACAAAACTAAAATAAAAATACATACATATGTAGTAAAATAATTGTTTTTACTTATAGTTGAATTAGTAGGACTAATGTGCAATGAATATTATTTTGTTAGTTATAAAACTATAATTTTTCAACTCTAAATAGTTTATTAATTGTGTTGTACTTAAAACGACCAATTAGATCTATTAGATCCCTCTCTGCCCGTGGAATCTGG